CATCTAGTCCAACCCCCTGCTGAAAGCAGGACCAATTGTCTACATGCAAATTGATGATTTAAACTAAATTGAAATAAGCCCCTTTTAATCTGAAATAAGAGAGTGTCCGCACTCAGACTTGTGCCAAAATAACAAAAGGTTTGAATTAAAACCACTAAGGGTTTCTCTACACATGAAGATTGTTCCAGATTACAGCAGGGTGAGAATTTAAAGTGCAATAGCTATTCTGGAATAGCTCCATGTGTAGACAATCCCTAAATCATTTCAGTGCCAGTTGGTGTGCAGACAAGACCATAAATAGAAGCTATCTGAAGCAGAGACTTTAATTTACCAGGAAACTGATTTTCATTTACACCAGGGACCAGATTTCTAAAGGTATTTAATAAGTGCCTAACAATGCAGCTAGGCACCCAATGAGATTTGCAAAATCAATGGGAGCCAGAAATATCTGACTAGTTGCTTAGCTGCATCTTATGTGGCTAAATACCTAAGGCTACGTCTTCACTACGGGGGGAGGGGGGAGGGTGTCGATTTAAGATATGCAAATTCAGCTGCACGAATAGCGTAGCTGAATTCGACGTATCCGAGCCGACTTACCCCGCTGTGAGGACAGCGGCAAATCGACCTCCGCGGCTCCCCCATCGACGGCGCTTACTCCTACCTGTGCCGATGGAGTACAAGCGTCGATTCGGGGATCGATTGTCGCGTCCCGACGAGACGCGATAATTCGATCCCCGAGAGATCGATTTCTACCCGCCGATTCAGGTGGGTAGTGAAGAAGTAGCCTTAGGCACCTGTAGTACCTAAATACACCACACTGACAGTATTAAAGGGGCATTGAAGCGAGTCTAAATGGCCTTGGTGTAAATGAGATGCAGTCCCTATGTGTCTGTACAACATCTAGCATGATAAGGCCCCAATCTCTGGTGTCCCTTGCTGCTACTGCAATATAAACAAACATTAATAAATAGCTTTCAACTGGATCCAGCCCTGTTTCTAGACACAGACTCAGCGTAGTCAGAGATGGAAAAGCGCTACTTGGTCCCACTTAGTCTGTGCCCTGGAGGTCAGTGCAGGATTCTTCTCTTCAATCTATTTTCCAGGGCTTTATCTAGTCCAGTTATGTGAATTAGGGATGGGAGACCGACATAACTAAGAACACCCTCTCCTTCCCCAGAAGCTTAGCCCCTCAATAGAATGAACTCTCTCTCAGGCTTGTAGGAGGTTCTGAGCTAGTCAGGTAAGCAGATTATTACCCTCTCCCTGCCCCCCCCCCCACTTATGCTTTCTGGTTGGGAATGGAAACAGAATTGCCTAAAAGTGTCAGGAGAAAACCTTGCCTTGCCATTTGGATGGACCTGCTTTGCCGAGGAGAACGGAGCTTTAATCCGAATCCCTCCCTGCTTTCCTTTAGAAGCTCTTTTATTTTTGCAAAGACGACAATAATTAGAAAAAGCTAATGCACCGGAAGGATCTGTGTACAGAATGGAAAAAATGAGCTCAGGCTTTTTTGCATTTAGTAAATATAAAAATTAATGAGAGACTTTCAGGACCCTGTTAGAAATGCAGAAGGGCCCCTGTGAAGGATTTTTTTTTAAATTGTACATGAATCTCTGCAATTATTCTGAATGCTTTATTTTTTTAGCCAATTAGGAAATGCATGGAAAGTATTAATATCCAATTTTAATTTGCTTAATATTCCTATTAACAATAAAAAGTCTAATTAAGGTATCTGTACAAAACGCCCTTAGCAGTAATTTCAGAGAATAATAGAGGAGAATGACTAGATATTTCTTGTTAAATGCATGCTGCAAATTAATTGATATCTTAATTAGACTTTAGTACTAAGATTATTAGTTAGATTGAATCAGAGCTGCAACACCTAATCTTTAAAAAATAAAATAAAATAAAATAAAAGCAGGCAACAGAGAGAGAAACAAGCTGCTTTTCTAAATGTTGTTTCTCTAAAGAAACTGATAATGCAATGAGAGAAATGTTGGAAACAATGTAAGGGAGTTAGCACAAAAATAATAATAATGCTTCCTCCTTCTCTTGTGTCTTCCATGCCAGAATCTCACAACACATACACAAATTAAGCCCCCTAACACTCTTGTGAGATAGGCAAGCATCATTACCGCCATTACCATACAAGGAGGTTAAGTGATTTGCTCAAGCTTGCACACTGAGTGGGAACAGAATCCAGGCCTCACCTCCCAAGTCTCTGTACCTACAAGACTGTTCAGTCAAAACAAAATTATTCCTCCTATTTGTTCTCTCCCCTTGCCACCAATGTAAATTCTCATTGACCATTTCCTTGTGAGAAATTTGATCCTTGAATTGCATATTCTTGCTGCTCATCCCTGGGTCGGCTCCAGGACACTGACTCACAGCAATCCATTATCGACAGTCATACCGCTGAACTGCAAGTGACTCAATAAATGTGTGTGGGGGTTTTTGTTTTAAGACTGTTCTATTTTCCTCAAAAGTTTCTGACAAGGGGACTACCCACAGCACTAGAGAGGGAGGTCTTCTCCAGACAACCTGCACTACAGAATGCAGAGGCTGGTGTTAAAACAAAGATGACACTTACCTTCCCATCCAATACTTGCATCACGCTAAAGGAAAGGGCCAGAGAAACTACAATCCCTGTTCTCTGATTAATGAAAGTGTAAAAGGGTTGAAAATAAACCTTACCCGAGTCATCTCAACTGGAGAAAATCCCAGAATCTAGGGTAGAACTAGTTGAAATGTTTCCATTGCAAATATATTTTTGACAAAAAAAAATGTGGAAAATTTTAGTTTTGGTTGAATTTTTTTTTTTTAATAAAAAAATGTTTTTATTTTCTGTAAAAATATTAGGTTGTCAGTTTAGGTTTCCCTCCGATCAAAAAAAACTGTCCTGGGAAACTTTGAAAACAATTATTTCCCCAATATTCTTTACAAAAAATAATTGACATTTTTGGACCAGCTCTACTCTAATGTATTGGGTAAACAACCACCTACCTGCCTTAACAGTCCTACCATTTTATATTTATATAGCAACCTTTCATCCTAGAGAGTTTCACATACAGAACCACAGAAATGCACCTCTCTCTGGAGAGGAGCATACAACATTTTACACACAATTTGATAAGGAAAGGGAAAGCAATTTTTGGCCAAGAATACTGGGTCAAACCCTGGCACTTATGAAAAGCCCCAGACAGAGGCAATCAAAGAACGGGGTGGGAGGAATTGTGACTAGACTGCATGCAGACTGTTGGGAAAAAACACCAAGGATAGACTTGAAATATATTGGGCAACCATCGGCAGAGCTGGTCAAACTGTGGGGAAAAAATTAATTTGTAAATAATTGATTCAGCCACTGGCGTGTGTGTGTGAGGGAATCAACGAATAAACTACTTGCGAATATTATTCAGGCAGCTCTTCTCCCCCGTGGTCTCTGATGGTCACACAGAACACATGGGACCCGTTTGTAAGGGCTCATCCAAAGAGGGTGCTGGGCCTTTGCGCTGTACAATTCTCAGTGTACCGCATCCAGCCTAGGAGGAGGAAACACTGAGAAGCCTCTGCTGGGATTTGAACCTGGGGTTCCAAGGAAGTATAGCTGCGATGCTTAGGTTCGCTGCTGTTAAGAGCTGATATAACAGCTAAGCTATGCCCCTCCTACCGGCTTCTAAACTGAGTTACCGGTCTCATCCCATTGCACACCCCAATGGGTTTTTATGCTCATTTTTTCCATGCTGAATGACTGATATATATACACACCCACACTCGAGAACATCTCCTTATGGGAGTAACTAACCACCTTGAAGCAGACCAGCTGTTCTGATTCCCTCAGGTAACTGCTCAAAATATACTCAGCCTGGGCAGTACAAATGAATAAAAGGACAGGGATTTCCTAGTGAATTACGAATCTCACAGTGATAGGGTACAGAAGGAAGTGCTGTCTTGCTGTCACACCCTGGACTAAGCACCAACCTCATGCTGGGTAGGATTATTGACGTTAACGGGACAGATCCGAGAGTCAACACAACACAAACCCCAGCATTAACCTGACCTCCCTTCCTCAATAAACTCTGCTTTTAATTTGGACTCCTGATGCTGAGAAACCCCAAAGCCTCCAAAATCTGCTCATGCCAAGCAGGAAGATGGGTTTGCTGCAAGCTCAGCTGTACGGAGCCAGATTCAGCATTGAAGGAAGCAGGTGAACCAGTATCCAGGTCAGTGGAGTTGCAGCTGCTCCCATCTGAGCTAAGTTTGGCCTCTGGAATTGCACTGTCTACACCACCCATCCCATCTGCTCCATTCTCACTGTGTTCCACCTGCTGCATACTATCTCTCCAAGTCACGTGCAGACAAAATGTTTATCTTCCTGAGACTCAGGGCTTAAAGTATCAGGAGGTGACTGAAGCAGAAGGTGCTCAATGTAGAATACCTGGATTTCACTTCCCCCAACTGCTAAGGATGTATCTCCATCTACTCTACAAAAGGAGGAAGAGGACAAGTGGGAGCTGAAGAAGGGGCATTAGTGAGTTAATGAATTACTAAGCCCTCATTCCGCTGTGCAAAGCTCAGCTTTATAATACATGGAGAGTTGGGCAAGGCTTGTTTCCAGGTTTCCTTCTCCTTGTATCCGTGAAAACCACTTATAATCATTTGTAACAAGCCCTTGGTGAATGGTAAGGAAACATGGCACCTGTTGTTCCCCTACCCTGTAAGGTGGCTATTCAAGGCCCAAACCTGAAGCGGTACACAGGAATGAACCAGAGGAGGGACAGTAAGATGCAGGAGAAGCAGTCCTGTAATGTCTCTTTTTGAGGCTACCCCACAAATTAGCCCATTGCCGCCCTGCTCACTTAAAAGAACGACTATCCCTTATTTGAACGCAGGCTAAGGTCTGGCTGGGGGGAAAAGTTAAATGAATGCATTGAGCAGCATTTACACACCACTGGTGTGATCCTATGCAGGAGAGAGAAGAGGAAAACAGGGCCAGTACTCACTTTGATGTCAATGACAACCCAGTGTCTCCAGAAACGGTACTTTGGATTAGCTCTGTTCGGGGCATCTGGATCCACCATGATCAGCACATACTTCTTATTCTGGAATATAAAAAAACCCCACCCCCGACCTTTGAAACACGCAGGCTTACAGTGCTTTCACAATTCAGTAGTAGGTAAATGCTCTCAGGGGAGAGAGGGCATAGGGCAAAGAAGATGGGAGAAGTAGGACTTCGGGATTCTCTTCCTAGCTCTGCCTCTCACTCAGTGAAGCTTCAGTGCGGGTAGTACGCCATTAGTCTAGGGATGTCCATAAATACCCACAAAAGTACATACCCGAGGTACAATCCCAGCATGGACCTCGGGTACGTACTCAGCTCGCTAGCCCACTCTGACCCCTGCACGGAGCGATTTTCACTGCTGTTGCTACCTGCACTCATTGGATTCAAGCTATGTTGTGTAGGCTAGCCTGTGCAGAGCTTTTGCTGTGTAGATATACTACTGTGGGAGTTAATCACAGGTTAGGACAGAGCCTGCCTCTTGCCATGTTGTGTCTGTCCTGAGGAATGTCAACTTCAAAGGGCATCAGTCCAGGACTTTCATCAGCCCTGAATTCTCTCTCTCTCACCCACCCCCACTGTAACAGTTATATTTGTGTATGATCCTCAGATGAAATGAGCTGTAAAAATGCAACGTATCCTATTACTGAGTGCTTCACGCTAAGCCTGGATTCCTTCTCCTGACATTTTATTCCTCGTGGCCTAAACTTCCTCCAAGAGCTCATAGAGGAAGAATGGGCTTTTGTAACAAGTCCAAATACAAGGCACCGGAGAGAATTTTCCCCAACCGTTCACTAACCACATCCTACAGCAGAGCAGCACAGAGAGACGTGCCGTGACACAAGGGGCTTTCCACACAGAGGCTTGCATTCCACTGGAAATGAGGGACAGGATATAGTCTAATCTCAGAGACAGAATCTCAAAGCCCCTGTGCACTACCCTGCTGGGCCAGTTGTGTGAACAGTCTGGTAGCAAGGGGGGAAAAGTCTCCCCACCAACTAAACAAAACACTGACTAAATTAATTCAGCCGAATTTCCGTGCCTGACATGCCCTATTACTAAAGGAGGACGCTAGCAGTGGTGGTTCTTGCAATGTGGACACCTGACCGAACCCACAGGCACCTTGTTCCAGGCTGCTGATAGATAGTAACAATAGTTTGGTCCTTGCCACGCTGGACTGGGTTTGATGACCTCTGAATGCTGAGCTAGGAGAGCCTACAGATCTCAGTGGACTTGGCAGGATATGGGGTTCCGGATGATCCTGCAAACACCTAGATCATTAAGGGACCTACAGGCTAATAAGATCTGGAGATGGACCCAGCAGCCCGCCAGCAATGAGGCGGGCTGGTGACAGCGATTCCATAGCACACCTTGGGGTCAAAATTTCCTACATTGGCTACGAAATTTAGCCACATGACTCCCACTGAAATGAAAGAGAGCTGTGTAGCTATATGCCCTTGTCACCTATGAAAAAATCCCAGGTGGAGGTTAATAGCAAGCTCTTTGGTGCAGTTTTGTGTTGTACCAGACCTCGCACAGGGGGGCCCTGCCCCATGGCTGGAGCTCCCAGGTGTTACCGCAATACAAATGAATAGTAATATTACGGCACTTTAACCTCAGAAATCCCACTGGAGATAAATCACGATCCGCCCCCTTTTACAGATAGTGAACGTGCGTCTATGGGCTTTTCTATCAGCAGAGTTAAGGTATGAACGTAAAGAGATTTAGCGAGAACAGTACAAAAAATTGTGCAGACACTTATTTCAGTTGATCTTGATAAATCTATTAGGACCAGATTTAAGCTAAACCGAAATAAGGCACTCGGACTGAAATATGGGTGTCCATACGGGTTTGCGCTGATTTTACTAATCTGGTTTATTTTCAAATGGTGCAAGCTTGTGGGTAGGCAAAAGCCACAAAGATCTTAAGAGCCTGACCCTAAGAAGCCAGGTACACCTGCAATTCTGACCAAGGTTCAGATGTGGGATTAAAATCTAGCAATTCCTGGTTCCCATTACTGTATTCTAATTGCTAGCCCCTCCATCCCCAAACTTAATGCTGCACTGCACTAGTAGACCCAACCCGAAACATTGTTTGAAATAGCATCCAGTGAAAATATTGGATGGCAACACTGAAACTGGAGATTATGGAGGGGGAAAAAAATCCCAGGCTGCAAGTGTGAAGGAATTTGGGTTCTAACTTTAGGTGGGTACGTGGCTGAATGCTGTGTTTGTGAATCTCTTGCTTCGATTTCGGCGCCCAGCTGGTGGGAACAGAACGTGTAGTCATGGGACTGTCATCGTGTGCTGTCCAGGTTAACATGTAGCATTTCTATTACTATTAACAGACTTTCCGCTCCTCACTCCATCTGTTCTTCGAAATAATTGCAGTTGTACAGACCATGCCTTCGCTACAGGCAGGCTCTGGGGAGAGGATAGTGCTTTTATGCAAAAAAAAAAAAAAAAAAAAAAAAAAAAAAAAAAAAAAAAAAAAAAGTGTTAAAAAATAACAGCAAACACGAGAATAGAGTGTGAGCGAAGTTAACAGCAGGCTCAGAATTCGGTACAGATTGTGGCCTATCAAGGCAGCATTGCACAGAGCCTTGGGCTGGTCAGACTAGGCCATTCTGCATGAGGGAAGAGGGGTTGTATCAGTGCCAGGCATGCTCCATCCCCACTGTGGGTTTGGATATTTTTTTTTTTCATTCTGACGTAGCAGGACTGATTACTCTGAACCTGGATATGCCCTGAGGGTGGAGCATGGGTGTGATCCTTCCCCTGCTCCCCAGCAGGATACAGTTAATTCACACTGACGTCAGGGGGCAGTGCGGTACCAAGCCCTAGATCAGCACAGAGTCAGGGCCTGTTACTCTCTCTGCTTGGGGCAGGGATGGAAGCAGCAGTGGGGGGGCGCTTTAAGTCACGTTTGTTCTCCTCCTGTCCTGGGGCTGCTCTATCTTACGCTCTGCTTGTCATGCATGCTCCAGCCTGGACTCAGGTGGTACTCCCTACCGTCGGGGCTGGGAGCAGGACTCTTACATCAGCTTTGTAGCTGCTGGGCCCGCCCTGAGGAGGAGGATTGTCAGGGGGACGTTTCTACCTTCTAAGACCCCTTTACACTGCCAAAGGAACTGACAGTCGGGCCCTCCACGTGTATGTCATGTGCACCAGGCAGAAGCCACATCAAAGCAATTAGCAGCAAAAGGTGAACTGCAAACGGCTTGGCTCAGCTTGGAGCAGAACCATGGATGCTCCTCTCGAGTTCAGTCAGCCCCCCTGAGCTGTGCTTTGGGGTCATTGCTCTCACGCGTTATGGTGACTTCCTGCTTTTGGTTGGGCCAGAAACACCCCAAGAACAGCCTCTGTGATGGTATTCCAGCTCTTCCGTTCCAGAGGCCCAGGACACCCCAGCACCTGCTGAGGACTGGGGGTGTGGAGTTCCTCAGGGAAGCCTGAAAATGCCAGAGGTTTGTTCGAAGCCTGAGCAAAAGATTCCCTCGGCTAGGAGGCAAAGGCATTCCCGAAAGGCATCCTAATAGAGACAATCCCACACCTTCCAGCCAAAGATAGCAAAGCCTGTCACAGACATGCAGAAATCTTCTCAGTGGGTATTATCATCTCCCATGCAACAGAGAGGGAAACCAGCTTGCCTCTTCACAAAGCAGTGGATCGTTAGCTTACAGTGTCTTTCATAGCTGGTAACAGAATGCAGGAATCCTGACTTCCTGGCTCTGGTCACTGGACCCCCCCGCCTCAGAGCTGAGACTAGAACCCAGGAGTCCTGCCTCACAGGCAGCCGTTGGAACCATTGCATGCTTGCTCCTGAGATTGCACCAGGCCAGATTTTTAAACCCGACCTCGTTTCGCTCTAGAAGTGACGTTGTCGCATGCCGAGGACCGGCAAAGGGGGCTCTGGCATTTTAGACTGTTTGTGTGCCAGCCTGAAAAGGACACGGGAGCCCTGATGCTGGTGAATTTATTTTTTTTAAAACCCTCCTTTAACACGGGCTAACAGCATTAGCTCCTGTCAAGACTCCAGAGAGGGAATCAGCCCACAGTGAGGCTGGAGCTGCTCAGCTTTCTGGGCATGAATCAGTCCAAGAGATTAATGGAGGGGAGGGGACTCGGTTTAAATCAGAAAACTCCTCAATCCTCTCGCTTCTCAAGAGGAACATACATTGTTTTTGCAGACGACAAAGGGAGAACGAGAGGAAGGGGAAAGCCGTTTCCTAGCGACTATCCCAAATTCTTTAATTTTTTTATAAGTACCTCAGCTTTTCATACCCTTCTCTCCCTTTCCTTTTCAGCAGTAATGAGCCCAAAGGGCTAACGGCCTCAGACCTGCAAGCTGCCTGCTTGGCCAAGATTCTCAGGCTCTATTCCCTGCTCTGCCACTGGTTTGCTGTGTGTGGTCTTGGGGTGGAGGATATATTGTGTCTGCGCTGGTGGGGAGGGGTGCCGAGGGAATCCCTGAAGACATTCCAGACAGAATTCCTTGAGGGTAGCCTGTGCTAGAGTGGAAGTGGCACTGTCCTTTTACAGGGTGCACCATCTATTCCCATTGGGTTTATCCAACCCCATCTTCTGCGATGATCCTTTGTGGGTATTTATGGACATCCCTAGACTAATGGCATGACTCTGCCATGGTCACTCAGGAAGTCAGTGGCAAGAACTGATCGGAGTCCTAGACTAGTACCTTAACCTCCAGGTCAGCCTTCTTCTCTATCCCATATGGTCCTATGATTGCAGGGGATGGACACTGGACACTGATTGCCGAACCACGGGCATTCCTTGCACCCTCTATCTATGGTTGTGCATACCCACAAAGGCCCAACCACTCTGAGACTGCTCTGTGACTCAGTTTCCCTATCTGTAAAATAGGGATAACACACTATGATGTGGGAGGGGGAAGAGTTAATTAGTTACCGTCTGTTGAGTGCTTTGATGATGAAAGGTCTAAGCGTCACGTTTTAGCTGCTAATTGCATCTGGGTGGAAGCGGCACTATATATAATTATAATTTTTTAAAAGCACGAGCTGTTCAG